AGAATAAATGCCTGTCTTTTATATCTTAGTAATGCACAAAAATAAACTTTGCTTTTTAATTTTAATAGCTATGAGCTCATGCTTATCCAAATTGAAAATTCTGCACACAATATCTGTCCTCTTCTTTTGGCTGCAGCTGTTCCTTGATTATAGATAAATCCTCTTGGCAAGCAGAAGGATATACAGTATGGAACTGAAAGCTTTAAGCTTAAAATGGTGAAATCTATCAATATTGGCGATATTACAGAATCATGGGATTTAATTTCCTTCAGGAGTGAAGTACTTCCTGAAATATGTGGGGCTTTAACACTAACAATAATCAGTAATTTTATGAATTAGGCATGAAGAGTAAATTTGGGAGGGCATCTCAGAAATCTTCTATTTCAATTGCTTTTAGGTAGGGATAGTCTTTACTTTGCATCTACACAGGTAGCCATGAGGCTTGAAGCAGACCCAACTCTCTCAGCCCCCAACCTGCTTGCCGGCAGAGGTGTGACTGTCCCCATGAACTGGGGTCAGCACCAAGGCTGTCATATGCAAACACAGGGTGTTGTAAAGGAGATAAGACAGGACAAGGAATTTTTCAGGGAGGCCTGGGGACATCTGGAGGCCTAGGACTGCCAGACAAAGAGCGTGGACCACAGATGTTTATTTAAATCGTCCCACCAAAAGTCCCTGGCCTTACTTCAGTCTATAAAAGGAAGCCACTTCCTCTTGTTCTGCCTGGATAGCCTTAGCACCTTCTCACTGCCTGCACCCAGGTATTAAGCCATATGTCTTGTTGCTTCCACAAAAGGCAGCGATGCCTCTGCCTCATTCACTCACTCGCTTTGCATTCTTTATTACAGCAATCACAACGTCTTTGACAACAACCTTCTGTGGATTGCTTGAAGTAATTTAAAAGATTAGAAAAACAGGCAGCTCACCAAGTAATCACATCTTTGACAATCATTCCTATACCATAAAACTGTAGGTTTATTTATTTATTTATTTTTAAATGCATTGGATTGCTACAGGGTCTCACTACACAGCTCAGACTCATAGTGATTCTCCTGTTTTTAGCCTCCCTAGCACCGGGATTACAGGTGTGCTCTCTATGCCTGGACTCTGTGGCCAGCTCAGCCCATCCTGGAGGTGGAGCTGGTGCTGCATATGGTGCTGGGGATTGAACCGCGGTCCCTGCGCTTGCCTAAGCTCGCTTAAGCAAGCACTGGCCCTGTAACTTTATTTTTAAAGAATTATTCCATAGGTGATTTATTTTTAAAGAATCATTCCATAGGTGATTAGTTGGAATTAATCACTCTTCTTGTAGTATTCTTTTTTTGGAGGGGGGGGGGTTTACTGGGGATTGAACTCAGGACCTGGCTCAAAGCTTGCCAGGCAGGCAATTACTCTACTGAGCTATCTCCCCAGCCCTAGTATTCTTGTATTCTTTTTTTTATGGACTTTACCATTAAAGATCTTTTTTTTTTGTTTGTTTTTATTTTTATTTTTATTTTTTTAGTACCAGGGATTGGACTCAGGACCTTGTGCTTGCCAGACAAGTGCTTATTCTACTGAGCTATCTCCCTGACCCTACTATTAAAGATCTTACAAATAATATTTTTGGCATTTTAAAAATGAGCAGTAATTGTTGAGGACTTGGAAAATGCAGGAAATGTAAAGGAACAAAAATATATTTTAGGTCTATTATTTGAAAAAAAATCACTAAGATTTTGCCACCTATTAAATCTTTGTTCTAGGAAATTTTTGAAACATCCTCAAGTTAGATGTTATGTGCCCTCCTTTTGTTATTAACAATCTGATATACTTTTTTACTAGAATGCCTTCATAGTTATTTTAATGGCTGTGTAAAATAACCACATTTAACCTGTATTTTGCAAACTGCTTCTTTTTATATTATGGACAGTAGAAAGAAACTATTTTTAAGGCATTCTGAGGTGAACAGATGAAACTGCTCAAGGTTAGAGGCAACTGTCCTGCAGCTCTGGCGGCTCAGACAGATGTAATGATCAGCTTTGAAGACGGAGAAGATCAATGATTCTGCAATCTGTTCCGCAATGCGGTAGAGGCCAGGGGACAGGGACGGGCCACAGGGCTCTCCTTAAGGCTCTGCTACATTGTTTTATCTCTGGAGGTTTAAGATGCACACATTTTGTATTACAGATACAAATATACATTCTTAGATTTATTGAAACATTTTCGTTGCATCTTTGAATGTTGTTATGGCTTGTGTTTGGATGTCCCCAAAAGCCTCATGCAGTCATGGGGGGTGGGGTGCAGTTTCAAAAGCTGCTGGCTCCAGAGTCTGTGACTTGTTTGTTGACTGGTGCTAGGGTTGGGTGTGTGAGTGCTATACCCTCCCTAGGGCAGGGAGCCTGTGTACAGTATAAGGAAGGAAACAAGGCTTGTTCTGCTTTACTGTTCTTATTGATTTTGCTGTCTTCCACCACTACGAATGCTTGTCCCTGTACCGTGCCATCTTGCCTTGGAGCCAAGTGATTAAGGAATGAAAATCCTACAAACTGAGTTAAATAAACCTTTAGCACTGGGACTTTTTTCTCAGCTGTGAGAAAAGTAGCTAAGGCATTTGGGAAGCTCTTATGTATTTTAGAATATTCTCTTAAAATAGATTCTTCAAGATAGCAGCATTGAATATGTTGGAGCATGAACTGAAGAAGTACCATTCATGGAGGCCTGGGAGATAGCTCAGTAGAATAAGTGCTTGCCTGGCAAGCACAAGGGCCTGAGTTCAATCCCTGGTTCCACAAAAAAAAAAAAAAACAGCTTCCACAGTGCCTATTTTCTCTACTTGCAACAAATGTAAAACTTTCAGAAAAAAAAAAAAAAAAAAAACTACCATTCATGCTATGGCCTATTTATTGAATCTCATCCTTTCCAATATTGGATACACTTTAAAAAACAGTTCTGCTAATTTAGTAGGCCAACCAATGGTATGAAATTTTGTTATTTTATTTATTTCAATATCTTAAATTTTTGCTTTTAAATTTAGATTTAAAGTAAAGACACAAGGATAATAGAGAGGCCCTCATTTATATTATCCTATTGTTAGCTTTCTGCATAGCCATAACATATCTGTCAAAGTCAAGAAAGTAATAATAATCACATTTCTGAAAACTTTTGCTATGGAGATGTGATTTAATTGAAGATCTTGAGGAGAGAGAACATACTGAACTATCTGAATGGGCTGAAATAATTAAGTACATAGATCTTTACAAGGAAGAAATAAAG